TTGGTATAAAGACAAGAGAAAGGGAGTGAAAGATGGCTCCAAGAACTTGAGACTAAAGATGGGAGAAGCATTCACCGTTTAACAGAGAGATGGAAGTTCTAAGAGGAGGTCAATTCCTGGGTTGGATTTGGAGTTCAAGAGCCCAGAAGGATGTCTGGCTACAGATGATTGCTACAGAAATGACGATTATAGTTTTGGGGTTTAGGCAAGGGTTCCAGGATGGAAAGACAGAAGAGGCAGAAGTTTCAAGAAAACTGGAGAAATGGGGATCATTTATAGCATCAGAGAAAAAAGTATAAAGGTAAATGAGGGAAAAAAAATCTGACCACAAAACCGTGTAGAGTGCCAAACTTTGAGAAATAAACCTTGAGAAGGGCAGACGTGGAGCTACAGAATAGACAGTCAAAGACCTAGGAGGATACAGAGGTCCAAGTTCCTAGAAACCAGGGGAGGCATGGATTTAAAGATTAGGGAGCACTTGGTAAGCTGGGAGGACATGAAAAGAGAATCCAGATCTCGTTGCTATTGGGTAAACAAATTTGGGTCCCTACGAAATGACAGGGAGTTTGAGGACCTGGTTAACCACCTAAAATGTAGTGTCTCCCACCTTTCACAGTCTGCACCACTCTTCTCTTCTTAGAAGACTTTAAATAAACACATTGGGCTCTTCTTGTAGACTTCATGATCTCAGAGTTTTACTTTTCAAAATCACTTTACACCCCGGGTCCCCCCCCAGAGATCCACCATGGAGACACGATGTAGAGGGGGGGCTCGGCCTCTCTGCCACCAAAAAAAAAAAAAAAAAACAGAAGAAGAATTTTAAAATGCAAAAAAAAAAAAAAAAAAAAATCACTTTACAAATCTCACGGACCTTCAGGGGCTGGATCCACACCATAACCAATGAGGAGAATGTCCTGAAGCCATTCCTCCTGAGCGTCCTGGGGAAGGGTTAGTTTAAAGCTCTCAGCAGCACCCACTACACAAGGGGAGCGCAGAGCCTCCTCCCTCTGCCTGGACCTTCGCTCAAGGCTGACAACTTCCTGACTGCCACTCTGCCAAGCTCCAGCGAAGAGCAGCCCGTTCTATGGAGTGTCGGTATCAATTATGTGACTCAGATCATCATGTGGGGAATGACTTTCCCCAAGCCTCGGCATGCTTTCTTTGAGCAGAAGAGCTGGGTATCTGGGGGTAGGAAGGGTGGGTACTGTTTCAGAAGACCTTGGCCCTTGCTGTAATTTGGGCAAGTGTGGCTTTTTCAAATGAAGGTTTCTTATCAAATGGACCTGCTTAGCACTTTGAGGCACACTGTTGGTGCCATAGAAAGAATATGTTGAGGAAGGGGCACAGAACTGTGTAAGCTGGGAAGTGTCACCTCAGAGTCTGGTCTGGGAGGAAGGCAGTGGCGGTGAGAAAACTAGAGCAAGTTCATGATTATGTGCCAGCAATCATTCAGTGATGGAAACCTACCTTCCAATGGAAGTCAACAAATAGGGGCCTCCAGGTTAACCTTAAATGTCTCCCCGTTGTCTGGAATCTTCAACCCTGTGGCAATGCACAGTGGAATTCTCTACCCCAAGACTTTGGGGCTTTTCTGAGGTCTTTGCATAACAGTGTTCCCCTTAGCAGCATGAGGAAATCCCTCAGCTGCATGAGAAACACATGCTCAATAATTTGCAGGTGAAATGACATAGTTGCTGGAATTTTTTAAAAGGATAATGAGAAATAGATAAAACAAGATTGGAATAATGAAAATCCCGAAGCCCGGTGCTGGGTATACAGTGTTTCACTACACATTCTCTTTACTTTTATATGTGTATGAAATTTCTGAAATAAAAAGGTTTGAAATATTTGTTACCCTGATAGGTAAGATGGGTAAGTCATTGTAGTCTTATGTACATTTCTTTGAATATTTAATGAAAATGAACATGTTTATTATTTAGTGGTCATTTATATTCTCTTAACTTTCTAAACATATCCTTTGCCCATGTTTTAAAATCTGAGGGTAAGTCCTTTATTTTGATTTGTAGGATGTTTCAAAAATAAAAAAGCCTTTTATTCAGTGTGTTTAAATGTTCTGTATTGTTCTTTTTTAATTTGAATTTTATTTTTATGATATTTTTAACATATATTTATCTTTAATGTTCAAGTAGAGGCATTCATCCATTTTTTTTCTTTCACAGTTTGTGCCTTTGGTGTCATTTTTAGATCATTTGCCTTTAAAAAGTACTATTTTCAATATGGCAGCAAAATAAAATATTTTGTTGGTAAAAAAAATATCCTGCCCTCTAACCTCCTTACCATTTCGATGCCTCCTGCTGTTACTTTACTCCCTCCAGTTCACACCCCCTTGGCATATTAGCCATGATGAGCTCCCGCACCTGTTTGCTACGCCATGAAGGATGTAGTCCACCGCAGACTTCCCATCCCAGCTACTCCCCTCACCTCCTCCTTCACAGGAGGAGGGACTATTCATGCAGTTTCTCTGCTACCCCTTTCTTCCGTCTCACTCCCCGCTGTCATCACCTGGCTCTCCATCCCACACATTCACCTCCCCCAAAGGGAGGCCATCTGTCCCTATCCTGTTGACCCTGCCACAGGTTCTGTGGTCCGGTGATTTCTTTAGTCAACAGATAAGAAATGCCTTTTAGCTTACCAGGTAGGTTAAATGGTGTCACAGCCCTTCTCAGAAATCTATGGTGCTCCCCATTGCCTACAAAATATTGTCAAATTGCTGTGAAATGTTATGTAAAGTGCTTTAACACCTGGTCTGCTTTACCTTCCAACACATCCTCAGGTTCCCTCTGGCTGTACCTTCATACAGGCCCCTCCCCTGGACCCTGGATGAGGAGCAATCTCGCATCATTGCCTTATCTTATTTGTTCTCTCAGCCACGCTGGCCCTTTCCAACCCTCTTCACCTTTCAAAACCCCTCTCATCCTAGAAGGCCCAGATCCTTTGGCATCTCCACTATCACATTTCCTCTAACCCCTTCAATCAGAATTAATCCCTGCTTTCTCCAAGATACTGCTCAGTGTCACCTGTACTCCCTTAAATCGTTCTGTCATGTGTTCTGGTTAAGTGTCATCCCCGTTAAATTTGAGCTCCTCGAGAGTAGAGACTTTTCTTTATTCTTCATTGTATTATCCAGTGCCTTATTGAGAGGGTGACCATAAATATTTCTTAACCTATTTAATTGATACCATATGCTATTGATTCGGCTCTGAGTGTGTATCCTCACTCAAGGAAGTTTCTGTTTTGATTCAGAGAGCAAACTTCTAATTTATAATTTCATTTTGAAAAACGGATCGCAATTTTCTTCCCCTTCTCAGATTCCTAGTTTCAGTAAGAGGTCCAGTGAACCACATTCTCTGGAAGTGGACATTCGTCTTGCTTGTCAATCACCCTTTGTCCCTCCCACACCTTTGACACCCCTCCTTGTGAATCCCAAACCCTTTGCCATGCCCTGCTACCCGGATCCCCATTTTTTTGCTGACTATCTGCTGATCTAGTTGCCTGGAATTCCACCTTGTGCCTGATCTTAGATTTCCCTGCTCCCTTCCACCTGTTTAGACTCTAGATCACTCTGACACTGACTGCTTGATTGGAACCTTTCGTTCACCTTCCACCACAGTCTCTAGTTCAATATTCCCCTAGCCGACTTTAGACATTGCTATTGCTTATGACCCGTTCTCCAGCACGTGACCCCCATCTGTAGGTGTGAGTTTCCAGGTGCTGGCCCCAGTCTGCCCCGTCTCGATGAAGCCATCCTCTCCGTACCAAGGTATTTGTATATGTAACAGGAAAATCAATTGGGAGGCCTTGTTATGTTGAGAAGGATTTTGTGGACTTCCCTGAGGAACTCACTCTCTCCTATAATTTGAAAAGCGTGCAGTGATTTCTAATGATTTTTAATTTACAAATCATGTATATGTTTAATCAATTACACCATGCTGGCTAATTATGATTTCAGATGAGAGTAGCAATCACTTCAGGATTGAAAGTTCTCCGAGTTGAACTCGTTCCAGTGGGTAGTTATTTTTTTATCTCTCCATTTTTATTAATAAGCCACTTGATCCCTCTCTCACAATGGTTCTCGGCCAGGGGTGATTTTGCTTCCCAGGGGATATTGAGTAAAGTATGGGGACATTTTTGGTTGTCACAACTGGGGGGTGCTCCTGGCATCTAGAGTGGAGACCAGGGATGCTGCTCAACATCTTACAATGCACAGGACTGCCACACGGCACACAGCAGAGGATTATATAGCCCAAGATGCCAGCAGTGCTGGGGTTGACAAACCCTGCTTCTATAATGAGGGATAATTAATAAAATCCTTTGGTGCCTCGTAGGTACTTCTATGTTATTGGGAGGGGGTGTAAATTTCCTCAAACCCACCATTTATCCTATATAGTTGGTTATGAATTGGTCTGTTGTGAATGGGCAGCTACCCCGACATTTTCCTCATGAAAGTCCACCCAATCTCTTCCCTCCCTTTGTCTGTGAAGTGAACTAGAGTCAATAGAATTCATTGGACACATATACTTAGTTATGTCTTATCTGTCCTCTAATCCCTTCTTTGCCTCCCTGCTACCCAAAAATAGAATACAAACTCTGTCTTTTGTGGCCACTCAGGGAACCCATTTCTCTCCTTTGTCCACATGCTTCCCTTTCCACCATCAATGCTTCGTCAAATAATTTTCGGTTTCTAGAAGAGTTTCCCTTCTCCCCTCCAATACTCCTGTGCTCACTTTTGTGCTGTTATGATGTATTTCTTCACCATCATTTTATCTCTTTTGTCAGTATATTTCTTCTTTTATTAAATGGAGCTGCAGCAATACTTTACAGTCCTATATTTCCTTAGAAAATTTATTATTTGTGTTTATTTATGATCATTTCAATCCATGAAATACAACAATTTTAGTTTATCACAATAAGTACACAACTTATTTCATTCGGGGGAAAGGACACACAACTGAACTGCTACTTTGTGTTGACCTCAATAGGTTTACCTGAAGAGGAGGGATGCTCCAGGCTGTCTGTGAGTGGCACAGGGACCTCATCATTTCAGAGACACAGGGAGAGTCACACCACTCAGGTAATGACCCTAGAAGTTCACAAATGCAGTAATAACTGAAATTAAACGGGGACAAGAGATTCATTCGGGTCTGACCAAGAATGTCTTTTCTTATTGGACTAGAGAAGGCAGTTGTTCTCATCTCTGCCTTAAGTTTCTCCAGGTTGACCTTCTTCTCTCTCCTCTGTCTTAGCTGACTCCAGTTTTCTGCTGGTTTAAAAAAACAAAGAAGAAGAATGTCCAAAACAAATAAAAATTAATAAGTGGTTTTAAATAGAATATTGTAGACAATTTATGATGTGATATTTTAAAATCACTGTCTGGTGGCGATGATATTAAATCTACTGAATGGTGTTAATATGTTTTCCACTTTGACCTCAGCTAAGCTAGGAGGACTTGAAGTGACGACAATGTGGGGGTAAAACGCTTGAAGCACCTGTGGTTTTATTGTAGACCATTACATAGCAGTTACTACCTCCAAATTCCATGTAGTCCAGATTCATGCAAAATGTAACATCTGATCAGAGCACTGTAGAATCAAAGTGAGATGACAGTTCGCAAAGCTGTGTTTCGATGTGTTTCTGTGATTTTGCGTATATGCTTTCTGTAGTTGGCCTTAAAAAGTTCACCAAAATGAAAAAGATTATCACTTCAAGAAAAAAAACACTAGTGTTTTTAGAAAGAAAAAGGATTTATATCATATAATTTAGTATTCGTTTTATGTTGAATTTTGAAGTACTGTTTTCAATAATTATCTTCAACAAGATTTGACTTTGCGTTCAAGATGGTGCACAAACAACAATACATCGAAGACTTGATCATCAGTATATTCAAAGTATAGCAACAGAATTCTTATTTTGTATGAAGTTACGGTACAACTTTCGTTATGTCAAATATCTACATAAAAATCTTTTAAAAACTCAGTCAAGTATCCAGATGTTTCCATGAAATCAACTATCCAGCTAACGATCAGCTTTCACCTGAATATTTGGCATTATGTAGGCGTGGCCGTATTATCAGCTGAGGTTTTTCTAAATAACACTGATGAGGTAGTAAGAAAAATCAATAATTTTAATCTTAAAACTAAATCTTACAGGAAGCAATCTGCTGAAATCACTTAGACTGATATATCTACACTGAAATAGAAAGAAAACGCTGATTGGTTGCGATAATAGATTGTCCTCATCTCCCCTCTGTTCCTTAGAGATGCATTTACTCTACCTTGTAAGCATTACAGACGCTCTATCTAAGATAATTCACAGGGGAACCTACTTGTGATGAACACTGGTTTGATCTTTATTACAGGGTTGACTCCTGTACGTTCTAATGATAGGCTGTCTGACAGCCTTTCCAGGGGTGCCACTACAATGTGGCTCATAGAGAATAGGGTTAACTTTGAAAGACGATGCATAAAATAGGCGTCTCTGTAACTTTTCCTCTGATCTTTCATGGATTTGGCCAAGAAGCAAGGAGTGATGGGAAAGGTCATCAGGAATAATTTTCTGTTCCCAGTTTTCAATAGGGTCTTGTTTTCAAATGCAGACAATCCCTGCCTCCCATTATCTCATGGTGCACTTTTTGAAGGAAGTGGAAAACCAGACTCATTTTCTTCCACGCAAAAGTGTGGGCATTCTCATGGTACGACACATTCCTCGCTGCTGAGAAGCCATAAGAGTTATGTGAAACTCTGCATTTGATGGCCACACGACTTTCAGCATAAATGCCTCTTGTGTGACATTTATAGAGGAAGTATGGACACATACAGGCATATCGCATTTTAGATTTTCTACTAATGCAATTAAATAGAAATTCTATAAAATCAGTTCTGGACTGATTGGGCATGTAGCAGTAAAATTAAATATTGACTAAAAATTGAAACCCTCTCTGAAGATGTCTATATTTTAATTAGCATCATCAGCGATTTTATTAAAATCCCTTTAAGGAAGATAAAAATGAATGGATATTATTGTAGATAAAGAAAATAAGAAATAGATATAGTAATTTGCCAAAGATCATAGGGAAAATTCAGAGTCCACTCTTTGAATGGATGTCAAGATCGTATGTCCTGTTTCTGAAAATAAACTTAGCATAACTCCTTAAAAGGAATGGAGGAGTGATCCAACTTTTTCATAAAATTTGAAGAATTTTTGGTCAAGACAAAAATCTAAGTAGCCATAGTGGACATTTATGATTTGGTTTTCTAACTGCCAGCCACATATTTAAGTTTCTCACCTACCACAGTGAAAATATGAGGGGAGAGACTCCCTATCCTCCCCTCCTTTGAGAGCTAGACACATGTATGTGAGGTGGGCTCAGTCTATCAACCATGGATTATGGAGTGAGAGACGTGTAATGGAAGGGACAAGAAGAATAGCTGTCACCATAGAGAAGGCATCTGGCACTGGTGGCTCCCTCCAGCTGCAGTAGATGTTAGTCAGTGTCGGGAGAGAGGAAGAATCTCCCTCTGCCCTTTTCCTTAAGGTTCTTATGGCTGGCCAAATAATCAACAAGACAGGTTAGCAGGAGAAAATCATACCAAGTTTAATAACATGTATACATGGGAGAAACTCAGAAATGAGCAACTCGTCCCTCTGTCTAAGCTGCCTGCTTAAGTATTGTAGCTAAAGGCCAGGAAGGTGTTGGGGGTGGGTAGTGGTCTGGGACCTCAGAGGGCAAGAAGACAACTCACATGGAGATAGAAATGCAAATGTTTGCCTCACAACTCTTCTCAGGGTCATCTATAGATAATGTGGTCAGGGAGAGATAGAGTTTTTGATAAAAGGGGCTTGGTGCCTTTCCCATTGTAACTTCTATCCTACATTATCTTTACAGCCATCATGATAATAACTCCTTCCTGAAACAGATCTTTTGTTTTAAATTCTTTAGGCAGTTTGGGAGGGGAAACTCAAATATTCTTCCTGAGTTCTCTGAGTCCTTATTGCTCGAAATAATCCGCATATCAGAGTGGTGCCTCCTGGGGTAGCTTGCCCTGAGCACCACCATCAGCAAATATCTACTGCCAGCCACTACCTCCTCCTTGGTTCCTCCCATGCCACATCTTTCCTTCCAACTTCATGTCTTTCTTTTGCCTTCCAACAAAGATTCTACCTGTTAAGATGTCCAGAGTTAGCTTCCATTACTGGGCAAATAAGAATTTTAACTGACACACTAATCTGATTTTACTGTTATTATCCATAAAATTCACATTATATCTGAACAAATATTTTTTACATAAAATGTACAAACTGTTCTTAATATAGATGTAAAACATTTTCTAATAGGGGAAGCACTTCGATAAATAGTAGTTGTTTCTTTCCTCAAAGTACAAAATATAGAAAATGTAGTTTGTGTTATACTCCATCATAATGTTGTATTAATTTGCAAGATATAGTGACTTTACATGAAAGTAGTAAAAATTAATTTCACTCAAAATATTTGAAAATAGTGACAGCTGAGACACTAGCCATATCGTGTATGTGACTGTGTTTATTTATGGTCCTTATATAGAAGGCTTGGTAGGTCCCTGCTGTGAACCAAGATCAAATATTCATGACCTTCTGCAGCCCTCAGGCATGAATACAATCAGCAGTGAATGTGTGACATCCTGGGATTCCACACACTGGCCCTGGAGGGGGGCTTTGTGGCACCTCCCAGCACTCAAATCTGGAATTTCTTAGATTATAGAAGCGATGTCAGATTGGTTTTGGAATTAGACAGCATTTATAAAAATAATATGCCATTTATCAACTTGCCATTTTATGAGATGTAAAATCATTTTGATTATTATTTTGATCACTTGGCATGATGAGATACCTTAGAAGTAAGTCAGTGGAGAAAGACTCCGCAGTGAATGAAACACTGAGAACATCTTCCAGCCCAGAATGAACTTCTTAGGGTTTTGCTGTATTTGCAATCCTCTGCTGACTCAGAAGGCTGGGTAACCTGACACAGAGAGCCCATGGATTATAAATAGAGCAAAAACATGGACAGAGCAGGAGGGCGGGTCCTGAAGGCAGGAGGGTACCAGGAGGGGCTGGATGAAATAGAATGCTTAGAGCTTGCCCTTGGCATAAAATTGCTAGTTACACATCTGTTTTGGGGTCCACTCTTGACATTGAGAAATGAGATGTTTCCTTTTCATTTGCGCACGGCTTATTTGTGTTTACATTCTCATTTTAGCTTTCTCAGCTTTCATTGATGCCATTCTATTCCTCTCAGCTGTCTGTTCTCCACAATAATATTGTGTGGTTTACGATCTTTGAGTTTCAGTGTGGGCGTTTGTCATATTTCTTGGCAAACTTCTTTTTACATTCTTTGTTTTTTTTAAGAGCATCAAAAGTTATTATTAATATATCATATTCAACTATTTATTGTAAGAAATCATTGATGGTCTCTGATAAAATAGTGGAAATCCAGCACCTGAGAGCTTAATAAATACCTAGCCCACTCCTAACCCAGCCATCAATGAAAACCATAAACCTAATCCATATGCAATTGATCCACATCAAGAAACAAATTGTTATGTGGTTTGTTTTACTGAACCATCAAAGAAACCTGTTTGTAATGTCACATACCAACAAAATGAAGAGTTGCAGTACACCAAATAAACCCAATGCCTTCTTTCTATATTCATTTTATTTGTCACATGGACTGCTTAAAATATATTGTGGCACAGAGTAGAAACAGTGTGTCAGATAAAATAACGAAATGTAGACACATTTAGTTTAATCATTGAGGGATAATTCTAAACCACATGGTAGAAAATAGAAACTAGATAACTATTTCAAAAGGAATATATATGTATTTCATTTATAGGCTACAAACAGAAGGAGATCTAGCACAGAATGCTCTTTCACACAGCTGAGGTTTCAGGAAATCAGTATGCACCACTCGTGACTTCCATATTATGTGCAAGAAATGAAGGCAGTAAATTAATTTGATGGTGTGAGTTAAATGGCAGTGTTTTCAACAGAAAAGGGACATAGCCTATATCGATATATAGAAACTTGGAAAATAAAAAA